TATCCCCCTGTGAGACAAGTGATTTTAAAATATTTATATATAGTTGAAATATGCATAGTATTAATGTAAAACATTCAATATGTATGAATGATTGTGCGAAATAAAAGCCAGACTGAACAAATTAATTTGCTTTTTGAACCAACTCGTGTCTTGTGGGACATTACTGGCAGTTACACTGGCAGGAAGGAACCTGAGTCTTGGTCTTTTTGGCAGTTATTTGGTTGGCAGCTTTTCATAAATCTGTGGTTGAAAAAAAATCCCAATTAGTTTGTGGCAAATCAGATATTAAATATATCAAGGAGTACATCTCTACTTGCACAGTCATTTTGTTCCTTTTTACTGCCTGAACTGTCTGAATCATAACGGCACCCTCCAACAAGTTGAGACTTGTAACTAAACGGACAGAGGATGCAGTGACAAATGACCAAATTTGGGTGGAGGATGCTCGGAAATTTGCGGCTGAAAGAAGTGAATCTGCTTCCTTCCCCTTTTTCTTACCCCAGTACTGACCATGATGGTCAGTAGCAGAAAAAAGGAGGGGTAGCAAGAGAGAAAGATGACACAGTGATTACAGTGACCAGCACATGACGCTGCCTTTAAATTATTGCTGAAGTCAGCAGGATTTATAAAGGCATCACCTAAAATACAACATACCAGAGAGTTAACTGGATGTTACAGATAATACAGAATCATTTAAATGCCCGTTCATCCATTCAGTGTCTTGCTTACCCTGTTCAAAGCTCTGGGGGTTGCAGTGTATCCCAGCATGCACTGTGTGAGAACCTGGATGATGCCAATCTATCATAGAGCTAACATTTATAGACACATTAATACTCGCATTGCCACGTACAAGCAATTAAAGTTCCCACTTCACCTAAAGAAACCCGTGGACTGCATGAAGCCAGTATCCAGAGGGAACCCACATAAACGTGGTACGAATATGCAAACTCCAGAATATCTATAAGAATATTAAACACAGGTTGAAACCTGAAAATCTGATCTATTTGTAGATTAAAGCAGGTTATAAATTAATTATTAAAATAAATTAAATTTATTTAACTGTTACGTGTTATTGATAATGATAAAAGTAATTACTCGCTAAGAGTGGCTGCACTGTAGTGTCAATTTGAGGGAATCTCTTAGTCAGCATCAATCATGATGAAATCACAAAAAAGGAAACAGTCGACTATCGGCGTCACCCAAGTGTGTCCCCCACCCTGATACACACACACACACACTATGTGGAAAGCCCTATAGGCGAGAATTCATCCGGTTTGTCTCCTCTGGTTCCTCATTTAACGGTATAAAACCAAGAGGTTTGGTCTGAGAGATCATTCGCCTCCATCAGCCAGATCAAGCCATCAGCTTCTGCTAAGAACATCTGGAACAACACACAGTAACCATGCAGCTGTGCATCAGAAGACTGGCGTGCCTGGCTCTCCTCGCCGGGGTTCTGGTGATGGCAGCGACGGCCTCTGGTAAGTTGTCTGTCAGAGATCCTGCACCCTATTACACTAGCAGCCTGCTCCACAACAGTTCATATTTTATGCTACAAATGAAGGACGTGTCCTGATAAATAAATATCCTTGTTTGTTTTCTGAAAAACAGAAATGAAGATAATCAAGTGCTGCACTACGGTCAGTATTGCAAACATCACGGCTCCCATCGTGGGCTACAGGATCCAGAGGAAGAACCCCCCATGCGTCCGTGCTGTCATGTAAGAATCACCTCCTTATTTTATTAAACAGATCAAAAAATGTTGGTGAAAACTGTTTTAGAGCCTGTGACTGATCGTTTCTTATTTTTCCTCCCAGATTTGAGACCACACAGGGAGAAATGTGCAGCCACTGGAAGCAGGACTGGGTGTTTTCCAAGATCATGGAGCTAGAGTGAGTAGACCTTTGTCATCTCAGTTCGTCTGCAGTGTTAATCATCTCTGGTAGTTGGTTGCTTCAGACATGATGTATCATGTATGCACAGGGGCAACACAGACTGTTATTTTAACTGTTATCTGTTGTGTGTTTTACAGGCAGGCCCGCAAAGCAAAGAAGAACACTACTGCTGCCCCAACAACCTCCAGCCTTTAGAAAGCACTCCTCATCTTCATCACATATCTACAGCGAACTGTCTTGAGTTAATTTAAAATATTTAAAAATGCTTTCTAATGTTATTCTGTAATATTTATTATATTTATTGCTAGTGCTATTTAATTGTTTTCCACTTTCTTTGTGATTTCCTATCTGTTATTTCTTCAGTTAACATAAGGCTTAACAGAGACACAAGATACAAAGCGTCTGTGATATGCTGTGCAGAGCAAAACATCTGAGCACTGTCTGTTGTTTGCTTTAAACACAATAAATGTTGTCCTCTTTCCACATGCTTTGTTGTTATTGGTTGAAACTGGAAGTCAAAGGTAGCTGTGCTCATCAAATGACCATCAAGACCTCATGAGGCAGCTGGCTCGGTTGTTTTACAGAACGGTTCTGCCATCTAGTGGGGAAGTGAATTCACTTCAGGGCAGCTTGGCTAAGACTAGCGTGTCATTGAGGGAGTCACCTTGTCTGACTGGAGCACCAACCCCTTGGGGTGCTGATCTGAAATAGCACGAGACGCTGCCTCCCTGTCAGTCAAGTCATGCATTTGCATGAGCTCGGGGGACAGGACAGCTCAGCTCAGCTCAGCTCAGCGCAAACTTTGCAGACACCTTCCAGCAGATGTGCTGGCAGCATCCTTCTCTCAGTACACCAGGCGCACATGTCACGCCACTGAAACACACAACATGCAGAGCAGCAGGATACTCACTTGTGGGCCCTAGAATATAGCTTTGAATGATTTTAAAGGGAAACTTCTACATTTTTCAACCTTGGACCTTGTTTTTAAGGCTGTAGTGTAACGCTTCAGAGCAATAGTCCACTAAAAGTGTTTGTTTTTGCCACGGACAATCTCAGATTTTTACTGTTAGTTTCTGACAGCATTATGGAAAGGATCCCTCCGGAAAAGTCAAACATCCAAACATCTATTTGCTCAGCCTGCATAATACGAGTGCATATGTGTCACCATGGGTCTTGCAGGTTAAGCAGATACTGGATGAATGTGGCTTGTCTCACCTCTGGCTCACACAAAAGTGTAACAGCATCAACTGGTTAAACTGTTGAAGAGGCTAAATGATCAGAGCATACAAAAGTGGCAAAATGAGCTCAGAACTATGACATCATGTGATATGTATGTCGAAATTAAACAAGGGTGTAACTGGAGAAGTATCTGTTGCATGCAAACCAAAAGTACAGAGAGGCTATTTGTGATTTTAGAGTAAATAACACCAGAATTCCTAAAGTCAGTGGAAGATATAAAGAGCTGTACAGAAACCAGAGGATCTGCAGCCTCTGTGCTGATAGTCGTGAGGGAGATGAGTATCATATTTTGTTTGATTGTCAGAATGTAAGCTTATTTCCTTACAGAGAAAGATATTTGCCAAAGTTTTATTTAAACCGTCCATCTCTGTTTAAATTAATTTTGTTATTACAATCAGATAGGCCAAAAGTAATTTGTAAACTAGGTGCTTCTTTGAAGAATTTCCTCCCTCTGTTTAGGTAACATTGGTTGTACTTTAGTCACACTGTGAGCCATTGTTTTGTTATTGTATGTGATGTTTGTACTCCATACCACGTGGTTATGGTCGTGAGCCAAATAGATGACATGAAATGAAATTTACCTTTTGTTTGATCTCATCTGTTTGTTATTGTCTTCCTGCAGCAACTCAACTCAAAAGACTTCAGCACGAGACTTCTACTGGTTACCACTTTGTTATATGCAATAACAAACACACTGGATCAAGAATAAGGTAAATTTCTGTTCTGTTTCTTTCCTCAGCAACACTTCAGCAACTTTACAAAAACAAGCACTGTCAGTGGACACTGATTGACGGTGCGGTACATTACAGCCTGTTTCCTGGCTGCCGGCTGCAGCGCTTTTTCTCAATATTAAACCAGTTTCTAAAATTGTTTTTCCCCTTAGTCACTCAGACACAAAAGAATCTAAGTTTCCCTTTAACCCTTTGAAACCTGGAGCGACATCACTTTTCTTTTGCTGCTTTTAGACACCTTTTGCAAGAATTTAAACCTTTGAGCCCTGAGCTAATGGGTGTGATTAGACATGGGAGAAAAGGCAGTGAGCAACTTGGTAAGAAATGTCCCACAAATTGCAAAAAATAATAGATTTAGAAAATAGGGGAAAGAGAAAACAAGCTAGAGAAAAACTATATTTATAATTATTATTATTACATATTTACAATTGTGGTACAAAATGATTATAATTTTAAGCATTTTTCCAGGACATTTCCTTGTTTTGTTTTTACTTAACATAAATTTGGCTAACTACTTAGCTGGGAGTGTTATTATATTTACCATACAGACATGACAGTGGTATATTTTTGTTTTCCATTAAACCCTGGAGCAACATCACTGTTCTTGTGCTTTCGCAAGTATTTAAACCTTTTATCTCTGAGCTAATTGGTGTTATTTCTTCTAGAAACATGGGGGGAAAGACAAAGCACAACTTGTTAAAAAAATATTCTACAAATTGCAAAAAAAAAAAATTACAAAATTATTTTAAAAAATAGGGAAAAACTATATTTATATAATAGCGCTCTTTCCAAGTCATTTCCTTATTTGTTGTATTTAACTTTCTTTCTTTCTTTCTTTACTAATTTCCTTGTTTTTAATTTTCTCTTTTTACTAATTTCTTTTTTGGGCGTCATGTCTCTTTTTGTTGTTTGTTGCCTTCTATCCATGTTTTTGTATAAAATCAAGCCAATTTGCTCAGGTTTCAAATGGTTAAGGGGTTGGGCTATTACTTGTTATTTGAAACTAGGTTTAAAATGCTATTGCTAAAAATTGTTTTAAATTTAAAAAAAAAGTTGTTAAAAATAACCTTTGAAAGTTACATGACACACTTCAGTGAGACAGTGTTGTAGCTTGATTGAATAAATATGGACAACAATGTTGGAGTAATATGAAGTAAATTTATTTGTTTATGAGAACTGGTATTGGCATTCAAGCATGTAAACTTGATTAAGGAGCAGATTAATAGCAGTAGCATAGCATGATTTTAAAAAATATCATTCACATAAACATTAGCTGAGTGGCTAGGCTAATATTCTTCATCATTAGTCTCAAAGCTGTTCTTCTCAGGGTGTCCTGAAGTCATGATTATAAGCTGACGCTGTATATGTTTAAGCAAGTAGCATTTCTTTTACTCTCCAGACTGGACTACAATATGCTCAGTTTCCCTGAAACACTCCCTCAGATGGGCATTTTTATAGCGCGAGTCCTTTAATTCCAAATCTCTTCTCTTGGACCACAACCTGTTTCCTGCTAGTAGAAACTGTCCGTGCTGTTCAGGAAGGTTTCAGCAGTACTGCCCAAAAATCCACTTCCATCATTAAACGAAGGCTTTACGCTTTTCTTCGTCGTTCCGTCATCTGCAGCAGAGCCAGGCTGGGACATCTTCTTCAGTTTTGAACTATAACGAAATAGGAGTTTTTACTCACGGTGCCCACAAACCAAAACACTGGTTCACATGCAAATGTTGTCCTAATTTTAAAGGTTCACATCTTAAGTGAAACCAGTTAGTATTTAAAAGTGAGTAGACGTCTCGTACCTGAGTAATTCCAGAGTTTTTCTCACCCACTCATCCTTGCGTGTCGCACATATCTCATTCTTCCTGATCGTGTAGAAACTATACAAATAAGAAACATTATCAAACACACAGAAAAAGCACGATATGCAGTGTATGAGTGAGTAGTATAGGTTTAATTTGTTGATAAAGGTGCCCATGTGACACCTAAGTTCCAGCACTGATACCAAAATAACTCATTTTGATGAATATAAACTAGTTTTTCCACAAAAGCATTTCGTAACAAATGTTTTATTTTGTCTTGCAGTAACACAGTTGAAAGAACTTTAAATAAAATAAAGATTATATGATTCAAAAAATGAAATATCTGATCAAATATTAAGTATCTGACCAACTTTTCAGTCGCGGCTTTTGGTACATTTCGGTCAGAATTCACAAGTATTGAGGTTTGATACTCAGCTCTGTTGTGTAATTGGATTGTGTCAATCTCAGAGGCCAGACAGCTTGCGTACAAATCATTTATAAATATAATTTATGGAGATATGGAGCAAATCAAACAGCTGCCTTTTCAGAGTCCTGAAATCCACAGTAATTAGTTCTGACAGTAAAATATTGTGGTAGATGAGATCAAATGGCTTATTTTTTATGGCAATAAATTCTGCAGAAACAAAATTAGTGCTGCTTCCCAAAACACAATTACCGGTGTCTTTCAAAGATTTTGGAATCAATCCAATCAAGGCAATCAGTCTACCCTGTTGTAAAGGTTTGACAGTGATACTCAAATATCATAGTCAGCGTTTCAGTTTGATGTCGGCGGTGTTGGAGTTTGGTGGTTTTGTAGGAGAGAGTCTTACATGATCGCCTCGATGTGGCAGTTTTCCTTGGTGGTTTGTTCTCTGTAGCCCTTTATGCGCTGGAAGGGCACTGGCTTCCTGTTGTATCTTGTACAACATAATCTGCCTGTACTGGAGCCCACTGCACAAACACACAGACACACAGAAAACACACCATTATTAACTCAGAGTCCTAATGTAATATATACTGTATTTTAATCTGAGTGACGAGCAGTCAGAGTGGTTAAATAAACTTACAGGCAGCTGGAGCTGGACCGAGCAGGCCCAGTATGAGGCAGAGGACGGTTGTCACGGCGATCATACCTCTGGGAGCCATGCTAACAATGTGAACAACAGCAGAGAGCTAACTGAATCATCACCCCTACACATATATATATACTTATGGCGCTACTCATGTTTTTTCAATTTGTGGCTCCTTAATTGAGGACAGGAAGCCCACTATTGCATCATGGCAGCCAAAGTTGCAAACGTAGCACTTTGATGATGAATTCTGAGGAGCTTCTACTGTGCCATTATGCAACACCTTTATTTGTTTATGTGGGCTTGTGGGAGAGTATCACAGAGGAACTGGTGCACTGATGCATTATGTTCATACAATCTCCTTGGGCTCTCATCTAAATTTATGCTTTCTGGGCTCATAATCGTGCTGTGAAGTTCTTCATATACGACACAGCAGATTCTAATCGTCACGCTTTCTTCGCTTCATTTAGTTTTCTCCAAAGCTACGGTATATTGCTGCATATTTAGCTCTCAGTGCATAGCCCCTGCATAATTACGCGTAAATGGAATTTGCTACACAAAATATTGCCCTCATCTTGCTCCATACATTTCCCAGCGCTGACAAAAAATGTCTGTAATATCCATTGTCACAATATGACATTGTAGCTTAAAGCTGGAGTCAGGGTGTTTTACATAATCAGCAATCTTGAAATTGTTTTGTGGTGAGAACTGATGGAGTATGAGAGGCTTGTCAAAACCCCCCGTCCTCGTTAGCATGACCTATTTAGTCTGCAGAAAGCTGACAACTCCAAATCCAGCTCAGCTGACCTAGATAGGCGCAACATCTTTGAGTTGTAAACGCATTATATCGCAGAGTATCACATCAAAAACTACATCTACAAGCTGTAAATGACTAGTTGTAAAAATCAACACCTCCTGCTCAGTAAAATACAGTGAACGCTTCATGAATGAATTCATGAAAGCTGCACAGTCACCATGGGTTTTCTGTTACTCCATTTACACTACATAAAATACATGATTGCATCTAGATGTGTTTGCCAGGCAACACATAAACACTGAAACTAAACTTTGGGCAAATTATTTTCCTGTACGCTATTCAGAGTGATACTCAACTGATCCCTGAAGGAGAAATCTATTTTTTGTTGTCGCCCTTTTCACAAGGAAATCAGAAGTGTGAAGGCCAGAAACAGATTAGGGCCATTAGAGCCGATGGGGATTCAGTGTATCTTGCTCAAGGGCACTTAAGAAATGCAGATGCTTGCTGTCAAAGCACGGAGACAGCTGGAGACTGTGCTGCCAGTTGAATGAGTCTCCCAAGTCTCACCATATGATTAATAAGTGTGTATGTGCCAGAAATGTGTTGGTTTTTCATCTCCTGTGCCCACAGACATTAACTGAAATGACTCAACTTCATCGTAACTTTTTTCCCTTAGACTTAATACATTGCTGAATGTATATCCACTAGAATTAATTAGGGAGGAAAGAAGTGAGCTGACTATTTATATTGTTTTTATTGTGTGTGGAATAAATGCCATCTTGTTGCTGTATGATTTGATTCTGTGCAGAGATTTGTCACATTAGAATATTTATGCTGCGTCTGTATTGACATTAAGCTCACACAGTCACACTTCAGTGTTGTTTTTGTCTGTTGCAGCCCAGATATTGCCCTGTCTGATCTCGTACACCCAAATTAGTTTTAACTGCTCTGAGCTTTGTCATTTCGTGACAGTTTCAGAGATCATGACTCATTATGTTCTCGTTATGACTTGCCCAACTTGTGCCCTCCTTGAAACCTCCTCTGTCCTCCCACTTGGCAGTCAGGCCCACTCATCTCAATTTAGCACCAACTCAGCCACATTCGATGGTGTCCAGGAGTGGTTTGTGCTCCCTTCACCCATAGGGGGGCAGTGTTGATATAGGCCAGCAATGGATGGCAAGCAGGACGTGATGAATGGATGTGAAGTGAATGTCGCAATAATAGTAGGAATTGATAGTCATATGTGAAATGCAAATCAGTCAATCTTTTTATTCCTCAAACTGTAGAAGAAGATGGCTTCATTCACCAACAAAGAAGACAGTACATTAAACAGTGCAAAAGCAACCCCCCCCCAGCGAATACTATTCAGGCCCAGATCGTGTCATTAACACTGACGTGCGGATGTTTTCACAGGGGCAGTTTATATCCTGGCTCCTAATTCATCCACAAAACACACAAAAAAACCACACAAACACACACTTTTCCTGTGAGGTTACAGACACACTTTAAATGAAGATTATTATTATTTATTAATTTATGTTTAAGTTTGTTTTTTCGATGATCACAGAAAATTCAGCAGCAATAATTTTGCTTATCTATTAATTGTTTAAAGGAGCTGTATGCGTCAGAGCGTGTTTATGAGCCTTTCAGTGATCCGAGCACAAGTAGACAGCTGAGACACATTGTCGTTGACGCCTGTGTCTCTCATGTGTCTCCAGCTGACTGCTTGTGTTCAGATATCCTTCCTGCCTATGTCACTTACACTAAAAGTTAAAAGGGCCCCACACAGTTATGAGATTCAGACTTGCTTGCTGCTTGCTAGCATGCTCGCTAGTCATGTTAGCAGTTGTGTCGGCACAGCTTGAGCAGATATTGCTGACAGCAAAATGCAACGTCTCCTTCTGTAGGACAAAATGATGGACCGTCATGCAACACTTCGTCCAACCAAAACCAAATGTCCTACATTGATGATGTAGCGTTTACACTACAAAAGATATGAGGTCAAATGCGTCCCAGACCGGCTCTGTAAGCAGTTTGAGTGATCAGATCACGATTCGTCATGGTGGTCGTTTACACCTGTGTTTAGCGCTGACCATTTGCGATTGGATCCCTCAAGTGGTTCTAAATTGGAGGTGGCTGAACTGGTGGCTAGCAGCTAACGGTGCTCATCTTTCAATAGTGTTAACAACGGCAACAGTGCTTACAGAGCTAACCTTGTTACTGGGGGGGGGGGCGCCAGCTTCTGTGATGATGCTGTATCAGTATCAGAGGTAACCACTGTATGAGTGTAGTGATTAGCAAGCCAGTGTGATTCACTCACAGGGACCAACATGGACTCATATACACATGCGGCCAGACCATCTCCCACAACGACAGACAGAGAAGCTTAGATTACGACACATATAGAGGTAGTATGACTCCCCTCTCTGCTCAGGACGCCATTACTCCACCAAATCTTTCCAAAGCAAATGGTGCTTTGCTGCTATATTAATGCTCTGAATGTTGCATTCAGCTCCTTTAAGTATTGCGCATAATACCAAAAATTCATTTTACCTTCTTTAATGGGCTGATTCACTGCTCTCCACTTTTGTTATATCACTGAAAATTGAATATTTCTCGGACTACTGTGTAAACAAGTAAATTTGCTATTCGCTAATGTGTCCTTGGAAAATGACTGGCAGAATAACCAATGATAAAAATAATCATTAGTTGCAGCCTGAATTCATTCAGTCCAGAAATGTGTGAAAATAATTACCTGAACCTGCCTGCAAAGGCCATATCGCCAGTTACCAAAGTGATCAAATGTATTTATTCCACACAGATACTCAATTTGCAATGATTTAAAGAAGAGAACAGCAGCAGAGCCGCACCACATCCACAGAATGTTTCTTATTTTAACTTCATGAATGACACTTTAGGCAGCGTAACGAGCTGTGAGCACAACACTGACAAATTATCACCTTATCAACTCGATTGGCTAACGTGTTAGCAAACTGTTGCCTATCACACATCCAGCAGACATGGAGCCTCATTAGCATTCAAGCTGAGGGGAACTACGGAGCTGGGTGATAATTCTGTGTCGCTACGTCACTGCGAGCAACTCCTTTCACATCAGACGTCATTTTGGCTTCTTATTGTTAATGTAAAAATATTGAGTAGTGCAGCTTTAACAGTTCATCTCTTATCAGAATAGTCACTGCTAAATGTTTACTTCACAACCACTTCTCCTGCTTTGTCTCATCTTTACAGAAGCTGTTATTTCACGATCAAAGGCCAAGTTGCACTCTAATAACATTTACTTATTATGCTGTTATTTTGGCGTTTGTAAAATTTTGGCCAGAGTGTTTGCTTGAGGGTGGGTGTGAAACTGGCTTGCTCTCCTCCTGGGCCCCTCTCCCTCTTTTTGGACTCATACTGGTGGACGGAGGGTGAGAAAAGAGGAAAGGGGAGGGTGAGGGTAAAAGAGAGGGGGTCACCATTGAGTTGTCCACCCACACAAGGCCCCCTCTGGTCACCTGCGTGGGCTTGGGCCAAAAGAAAAGTGAGGATGCGCGCACACACACACACACAAAGAACAAAAACGACAGCTTTCTAACCCCGAATGTCAAATGTGGCAAGGGAGCGCGGAAGAAAAGTGTTTTAAATTAGCAAGAAACTTCCTCAAAACAACAGAAAGGGGCATTGTCAGTATCGTAAAAAGCACTTCACAACAGAGGAGAGTTTAGGCAGCGAGGGAGGCAGCAGAGAGATGAAAAAGCTCTCAAAGCACTTGGCTGTGGCATGATCTTCAAAAAAATGCCTAGTTTATCATAATTAGCATTGTTCCAGACTGTCAAACCCGTGAGGCACAAAAAACAATGCACTCTTCAATATTTTATTGAGGAGTTATGGTAAATTACTTGATGTATAATTATGTGAGCTGGGCAGATTCTGTTCTCACCGTCTCCTCCTACATCCCATCTGCCCCGTGTGTCCAGAGTGTGGGTGACTGAAGTAGCTGCAGGGGGGAGGAGGGGAGGATGAGGAATTATTGTGGAAAATTATAAGAAAACTTGTGATGTAACAGTCTGAGTTGCACTTCTGCTGTTTCGAGCTGACACTGTAACATCCGCGGCCTCCAACAGAACGAGTAGTAGGAGACGAAAGCAGAGGAAAATATAGACTTAAAGGACCTCTGTGACATTAGGAAGCGCCCAGAGGTGTTTTAGTCTGGCAGAGCTAACTCCTGGCCAGGGAGACTCCGGAGGATACAGTGAGCCAGCAGAGGTGAGCAGAACAGAGGGGAAGAGAGTAGAGTGGTAGAAAGAAGAGTATTTTTAGGGTGGTCTGTTAT